ATGATATAAGTACATCCCAAACACTCTAATGTCATTTGTATATTTCACTTTTACCGTAGCTACTACTCGTTCAATGAAGAGGATGCCTGATGACATTATCCAGCCATACAATGTCATCCGCGGGCAGGGTGTTGAATCTAGCAAATAAAAAACCTGCGGTTCAAAGCAACCCTACCTTGTATTATGACTCAACTGAATAAAATGCAAAGGTAGAGCGTAAAACGGGACACAAGAAAAGCGCGCAATAAAGGGGAAAGAAACAGAGAAGTTAAACTGGAGCGGTTCACCGAAGAAGGCGACATAATTACTCAACGCATTTTTTACTTAATATGTATAATAGTTTATATCACCCAAATTTTGTAAACCTTAAATTGAATTAAAGGCAGAGTCATTTTTAATTTTAAAAGCTGTGGAGTCAACAGCTGTGGTGTTCATGGTGGTCGGCTACCATCCAAAATATTAATATGCACTCTGCATGGGTTTTTACAATGGCGAGTCCAAAAATTCACTTTGCTGCACACCTTCCTTTTGGTCTACATGAAATTGCAAACTCTGTTAATACATCCATTTTTTCATGTGCTGAAATTATTGCTACGTGTTCCTAATTAATCAATCTTTGGATATTTATTGATTCCTGCAAAATTGGGCCATGTAATATTAAAATTAACATATTTTTCTGCATTGTTTACATATTTTTATATGCGTTTTGGCATTTCTCTCTCGCAATTGCACCAAGATGACGTCACGCAAAAATTACGCTCAAAAATCCTCTCTCACTGGCGCAATCTTGTATTCTATCACTCTTGCTTCATATGCATATACAAATAAACATATTGCACAAAAGCCCAAGAATGATAGAATACAAGATTGCGCCGATCAGAGAGGATTTTTGAGAATAACTTTTGTGTGACGTCACACTGGTGCAATTGCGAGAGAGAAATGCCAAAATGTGAGCAAGAATGGAAGAAGAAGAACAAATGTTGCAAGGAAAACGTAAACAAGTTGCACCAGTGTGACGTCATGCAAACAACGATTCTGTCAAATTCGTTGATAGAGGAATAGCGGTCCGAGATCGGCGCAACCTTTGTATTCTCTCAATCGTGACAAAAGCTTATACTTCTCTTTCACAGTAAGGCAACACTTTCTCCAAGTAAATTTGCAAAGAAGCAAAACTTTGCCACTGCTAAGGGAGCGGAGCGAGAGAGACAACTGTCAGTTTATCGAACCTTGTATTATTGAGTCATGCGATTATCCTTGTTTAGTTGACGGATTTAGCAAAATCCTTTCGGTTCGTATCGCTGGATTGGTAAATAAACGCTCAAGACAAACAACAAAAAATTTACAATCCTCGCTAATGCAATAACAACACTTCACAATACTTGTTAAAGCAATTACAACGCTTTATAAAACTTGCTAACACAATTTATCTCTGTTTCACAACTTGCTTGTGGCTTGCTGATTCGCAACTGACTGAGCTTGCTGTAGCAGAGGCCTTATATACCTGCGCTCGTACTCATGGCAACTCTAGAAGGTTCTGCCGTATATCGCACATTCTCTCAATTTCTCGCCGTTCTTAGTATTCATCCACTTGACGTTTCTTGCTGTCGAATATTCTACGTCATCCCTCGAACATTCTGCCATTTTCTTTTTGTTCGCTTGGCGTTGCCGCAGTATTCGCCACAATATATGTATATTTAACACTGTCTAAATGTCACTCATTCGCCCTGGCGTCCGCTGCAGTTTGCATTAAACTACTACAGACCAGGGATGTTGCGCATATTTGCATTCGCATTCGTTATGCGAATGATTCGCATCATTTTACGCGTTCGCATTCGCATCAAATGATACGAATGTTTTGGGAATGCGAATGTGTACATGGGCAGAGAGTCCACTCTAATATTGTTGAAATGGCTCTAAGTCTGTCTAACCAGGGTGCGGACAATAACCGTCCTTTAGCTTCAGGCGGTATACGGTTAAGTAGTATATCAAGCAATATTCAACAAGTACTGCTAAAGGTCTTATAAGCAACCTAGAAATAATTTTAGATTCCTCCAGCGAAAACGAAGGCTCGGATGTAGAAATGGAGACATTAAAAAATGTGAAATTAAAGCTCAAGTAAAAATTAAAGCTCAAAGAAAAACGAGCTCATCTCTGTGAAAATCCTCTCGATTGCTGGAAAACTAAACTAAAATACGACAAATTGAAAGATCTGGCCCGCAAATATTTTAACGCTCCACGCGTTTGCGTCCCAAGTGAATGGCTGCCAACTTGATTCAAACCGTGCCAGTTTTGGTCCTTTTTTTTGTCATTTATTGAACAAGTTCAAATGGAACATAATTTTTCAATTCGGCACAAAGTGCCACAATGGCACTTTTGTAACAAAAATAACATTTCAATACATTTTTGTGAAATCCTTTGCTTCTTTTTCTCTTCTTAATTAAAATTTACTAATTTATAAAGGCTATTCAACTGGTTTACCTTATTTTATCATTGTACTTTTGTTTTGAAAATGTGGTTCTTATTTTATTGCTAAAATGGGAATGCATAAAAAGAATGTCGCCTTCTTTGGCACTTTTATTTCTCATAGCTAAGGATAGTTGGCAGCCCTGTCCAAGTGAGCAATTGTTGAGCCGGCCTTATATACGAGCCTTTAAGAAATCGCCTCATGGAAGAAAAAACAGAATTTTTTATTTTTTTAATATGATATGCTCATTTTGGACTTTGACTATTAGATTAAAACACTGTATAGGTTAAGCCTTCGTTCAATCTTCTAATAATTTACAAAATTTTTAAGAAACAAAAGCGATGGCTTAAGATGATTATAGCTTTTTAATGTTGCTCCTAACATTGGCATTCGCATTCCAAAAATTCGCATTCGCATTTGCATTCGCGAATGTGAAAAATATTACATTCGAAATATCCCTACTATAGACTTTATTGACCGCCTCGCTTGAAATACACGAGAATGTATGGAGGTTCGAACCCTATACCAACTTAATTGCGGACGAATAAATAGTTGCATGTGCCAACCAATCGCGGTCGAACTAAAAAGTCTGCCGACTACACTGGATCATACATTTTTTTTTGTCCTCACCGGATGCAACTATCCAATTCCTTTGTAGAATTGCTCATTGATTCCGAAAATCAAGTAAATAATTTTTCTATGGATAAATTTTCGAGATATTGGCAATTTACCGTTATTCAGCTTTAAAAACGGCAGTTCCACTTATGTATCTTACGAACCAATTTAACAATTTTAATAAGAAATACAACAAATGAAAGCTAACGAAATTCCCATAAACCATATATGGGGCGTTTTATACCAATATCCCGTCCATATTCAAACTTCATGTGTTTGATTTATTTCAAATTTTTAGGGAGATGGACAAATATAAATAATAAATATAAATTTAAGCTTGATTAATAAATTTTTAAAAACTTTACAGCAGTACAAAAACAAAAACAAATCGACTTAATAGTTTTCCAAATATCTCGTGAACGGTGAGAGGAAAAAATCTGAAAAAAATCACACATTAACACATCAAAATTCTCTAAGAAAAGAAATATTTAAAAATTTATTTTATTGAAAAATTTTTCACATACAAATTTTTTGATAAAAAAAAAATTAATTTTTGAAAATATGCCATATTTATTTATTATTTATGTTTGTCCATCTACCCTAAAAATTTTAAACAATACATCACTTTTCGATAGGTCTGATAGTTTCTGAGAAATTAATTAATAATTCCAGTTTTTTTGTATTTTTTTTAATGAAAAATTTAAACAAATTCAAACATGTAATTTTTCAAACGGTGATTTTGGTAATCACCGAGCAGTTCTACATAGGAATTGTATAGTGGCATCCATTAAACCGTGCTATCGCAAAGGGCTTTATTAGCAAGTCGCACTTCTACGTGCGCACACTGCAGATTTTTAGTCGGGTCAACTCATCATAGGTACCGCTACTTTGGTTTTGCCAATTTGACAACTCTCAAGTAAAAGTAAACAACGCCTCAGAAACTTTTCACCATACTTTCACAAAAATAACTGGCTTTTAACACTTTATTTATTAATTCGGTTTATGAATAATACATATTATATTCTTACAATATAACACAATTAAACCTTGTTTCCTATCGAAAAATTAAATATTGATAGAACGTATTGCTTTGACAGTAGTTGCGTTCGATAACAAAATTAGCCAACACCAGCCAACAATCAAAATCAAGAGAGTAAGCGAAAATTCTCTCCCAAAGACATGAAAAAGCAAAAAAGTAAACGAACAGGAAATTAGCCATTACTTGCAAAAACCGGAAGAAGAAGACACACCAGCTGACTTTGTTTATGTTTTATTTGTAAACAAACTGAAATTCATGTTGTCTCCATAGAAGGAAAAAGGAAAGTGAACGTTCAATGTTCGCCAGAAACATTTTTAGAAGTAAAAACTAGTTGGCGCTATCATAAAGTCACATAGCAGGCAGCCAAAAGGCTGTTTACAAAAATTGCAACTATATGTTTTGTGATCAATGTTTTCGTGTTGGATAATTTTTGCTGACTAAAATTTTGCCAGTACAAAATGAACGCTTCTCTGGCATCAAAATGCCAATGCTCTCTCAATTTTTGTATGTTGGATAATTTTTTGTCGTTATCGAACGCCATGCAGTAAAAATTTGGAAAAACTATTACAAATTTTTGACTTGTCGAACGCACCTAGTTTTTTTTTTTATCTTCTTAAATATTCGGCTTTGTTTAGTTTTACTTGAGGTATGTTATCGGGGCCAGGACAGTGCAATCTTGTATTCCATCATTCTTGGATAAGGATGCAGAATTTAGTGAATTCAGCTTCGTTGGCTTTCGTTTGCTCCTGTATTCTCTCTGCTGAATGACGCTCATGCGCTGACTCGCTGGTCTATTCGTTCGTGGTGAGTTTTCCTATAACTTAGTGTGAATATTGAAGCTCGTAGTCGAACGATGCCGCGTTGTATGTCAGTTAACTCGGGAGCGTGGTGTTGTAAGAGTTATGGCAAGCGTTGTCGCACATACTTTCCAGTAAAAATAAAATACAAATTAATTTGCAGTAAGAGAAGTGATGAAATATGAGAAAAAGTAGTGAAAAAACAAAGGAAATGAAATTATCCACATTACAGTGTACAGTGAAACCCGCTTAAGTCCCCCCCCCCCCGCTTAAGTAATCACTTTTGGACACTGTGAATGTTTTAATATAATCAGAATAAAATCCCTCTCTTAAGTACCTCCCGGCTTATTTACCCAACCCGCCTAAGTATCTCAATTTTTCGTGCCCCATTTACAATTTTACTTATAATTTTCCCCTTTTAAGTGCTCTTTTAAAATTCCTCAAAATATTTACGTATTTTCAAATTCGGTAAAAGAGTTCTAAAAAATCAACGGTAACTTTTAACCACTTGAAACTTGCACATTATTGCACTAAAATTGAATGGACTATAAAACTGTATACTCAAAAAACACTTCTGAGAAAAAAGTTTGAAATTATGATGATTTTTTTTTTAAGTGTTCTACAAAATCTTAAGCTTAGGTTTATATGGTATTTGTTAGGGAATGAACTGCATTTTAATTGATCGAAAAACCTTAAGAATTTATAAATAAACATAAGTGACAAACAATATCATTTGAATATGGTACAAAATGATATGTCCAACCCTGACTTTTTAAACATTTTAATTCTTGTAAAAATAACAGACCATTGCACTAAATATTTTTTTAATAAAGTTTTTCCTTACTTGTTTATGTGTTTAAATAATGCTACGACTTTGGTTTTAAACAATGTATTCTTCATTAAATGTTATTATTCAAGTATTTATGTAAGTTAACAAGAAGATGTAACTACATGAGTAATTATGTTCTCTTAAGTACCCGCATCGAGGTACTTAAGCGGGTTCTTTTAAGTACCCAACCCGCCTTAGTACCTCAAAAAGCTGACATTTTTCGTGAGGTACTTAAGCGGGTTTTACTGTACTTAAATAAGAATTTGAATAAAATTGAAGTTAAAATGTTTAATGAAAAATTTAATTAAAAAGAACTCTGAAAAAAAATATTTTAATACAAAAACATTTGTTAATCATATATTTTGATTTTGATTTTGAAGAATGTCTGATTTAAGATAGGTTTTGAGTGATTTCATATTTTTGCTTTCGCAAAATGTCGCGTCAGCATTGGCAGCGATAGCATATGACGGGTGACATGCAAACAATCACGAAGCAACAGCGGTTTCATTGGGTGGGTGACGAGAACTATGTGATGCATGTATGTATCTATGTGTGTGAGTAAGCAATGATTTGAACTCAATCCATAAATCTGATTATGTTAATGTGCGAGTCAACAGACATCATGTGGTGGACAATGTACTCGAAAAAAGGCAAATATACGAAAACAATAGAACTAGAAGAGCAAAATCCAAAATAAGCTGAAATTCAACAAAAGTGTTTAAAGTTACTAAAGTTATTGGGTCAACGAGAAGAAGGGTAGTATATGTATTTGTATTTTATGTATCTATGCAACTGTTGGTGCTATCTAACAGAACGAATTCTTTTAATATGACCAACTATTACACTTAATAAAAATATTTAAACAGTGTTTTTTCTATCTTGGAGTGCTGTGTTACTATTATTTAAAAAATTGCAGAAAAAAGTTCAAGGATAATATAAGAGTGGCATTCGTGATATTTTATCAACGGCTTACGCCGAATAAGAGTTATTCTAGAGAAGCACTTCGTTCGTTAAAGTAGCAACGGTCAGTGCACAATCTATTTAATCGCAAACTAAAAAGAAATCATAAAAACTGAAGTTAAAAAATCATCCAGCTAAGATACATCCATGATTAATATTTTTCGTATACCGAATACAAAGCTGCTCTAAAACTTTCCACTAAAAGTGATATTTTTCCTTATAAAATATAATTTATCAGGTATGTTTTTAAACCTAACTAACAAAGGTACATAATAAGATAAGCGTTTAATACGTCAATAGTTTTTCATCATACCAATTTGTATAGGTTCACTCTTAAAACCAACCTCACATATGTGTGTATGTACAAAAAACCAGGAGTCAAAAATAACCTGCGGGGGGAGGGGAGGGGGAGGAGGGGTGATACGGATTTGTAAGTATACAATTTTGAAAGTGCCCAGTGTCGCGGCGGTCCGCGTTCGCGCGCCGCGTTCGACGTCGCGCTCGCGTTTTCCGCCCCTTCTCCTCCTTTCGCAATTATGCCTTGGTGGCAGGGGCGCACCCAGGAATATATTTTAGGGGGGTTTTATATTTCTGAAGATATATCACCGGAAAATACTGAAAATTTGCTTCAGATAATACCCTCTTTAATATACATTTATGCAAGTTTTATGTAAGGTATGTAATAAATAAATAAACGTTTTAAAATTCATAAACTGCACTTTATTTACAGATTAACAGAACTCAAACGCTTTTAACCGACTTAAAAAAAAGGGAGGTTATCATCTCGCCGGAATACATAACTTTGGACCACGTGAACCGTTTTCAATAATCCTTTTTTTATTAGAAAGATAGTACCTCAAGGTTCGTCCCGTAATTTGTTTTAGAGATCCGATGATTGGATCATGAAGAAATTAACGGTACCCCTAAATTTGAATATGAGAATTGAAGTCGGTTGTGTTCTTTCCTTAAAAACTACTTGCTTAATAAAAAGTTCTATAAACTCAAGATGCGCTCAACTTTCAAAAGTACCTAATAAAAAATTTTAAAAAAAGAGTCAGTAAAAATAAATTTATTGATTCCATGAAGTTTTGCACTTCTATGTTCATTTTTTCGATTTCTGATTTTCGATAGAGATGGTGATTTTTCACGATTGCTAAATTTTTTTAATATTTCAAATACCGGAAAAATTAACTGAACTCTCAAGAAAAACGAAAAATTCATATAAAACGACGGACGAGAAATGGAAAAAAAATTTTCTTCTACCAAAATTTCTTAAATCAGTTTGCAGCTCTCAAGAAAAAAATGCTCGTATATTTATTCCCTCATGAAAATTTACAGCAAAAGCAAAGCGCTTTTTCAAGCAACAGAAATTATAATAAATATTTCTTATAATTTCCTTGAGAGCTGGATTCTTAGCTTTAAGATACAGATTGTATTTGAGGTTATTAGCTTTAGGGGGGGTTTGAACCCCAAAACCCACCCCTTGTGTGCGCTAATGCTTGGTGGCATTATAACCGTTTAGAAACAATAGTAATAATAAAATGCCATTAGTTCACTTCTGAAACTATTTTTTAATGACCAAGTAATTGGAATTATTCCGTATGGTGTTATTGCACCCCACCCATGGCGGAGTTATACCAGGTGAAGTAATATTACGCTACGCGCACACTGCAGCCGGCATCGGCCGAATTCTGCTCGGCCGATATCGGCTATATGCGGGCGATATGAATAAACACTTGTGATTATTTGAGCGCTCTCACACATAAACCGATAACCGAACCGACATCGGCCGTTGACGTCCGTCAGTGACGATAAATTCAAACATGTTTGTTTTTCTCGTCCGATGTCAGGTGAGAAGAACCAAAATGGACTGCGAAAAATGGTTAAGTGTGCGCATCAGTTCGGACGGTCAAATTGTTCGGCCGAAATCGGTCGGCCTATCGGATGCAAAGTGCGCCTAGCGTTAGAGTGAGAAGAAAGATTTTGACACTGCCTTATTAGAAAATTTCTCTATAAAATTTGAATTTCAATGCCGAATGTTAGAAAAAAAGGGGGAAGCTGTTTTATTACTTCACCTTTTTATTGAGCAATGCATCCCACCTGCTTGTACCGAGTATACGTTCAAATTTAGAAGTCTGAGAGTAGGTAAAATAATTATACATATTTTTACATCACTATTTCATACCACATGTTCGCTTCGTCTTCGTGATGATAATCAGTGTTGCCATTTTAGCCGTTTTCCGGCTAGATTTAGCCGGTTGCGATAGCAAACAGCCGGAGAAATTTCGATTTAGCCGGCAGCCGATTTGTTAGCCGTTTTGCAGAAAATTTAGCCGTTTTAAGCCGATTTTGCTATTTGCCTTGTTTTCTTAAATTTCAAATATGTATATATGTTTCCATTTTTGACTAAGCGACCCAAAATCTGTTAGAAATGGCTAATAGCCTTATGGTGGAGAAAATTTTCATGTCAGGCAGGGTTGTATGAAATTGGACCGATTTTGCTTATTTTTATTTTGAACGAAGAAGGGATTTTCTTCATAAAATGTTTGGTATAAATGTCTTAATTTTAAGTGTGAAGTTTTATTCGCAAACTTAGAAAATAAGAAATTGTATCACTGTTAAGACACTTAAGATGCGTTTGTGTTTGGATATAGTGCCAACAAACCGAATAAATATTACATGTAGATATAGTCTTCCAGATAGCGCATATTCGATTCTGCCTAAATTACAAAACATCATTTTTGCCCACTCCCAAAGGTTTAACGTAAGGAAAAATTTGATATTTTCAAGCACTATGTACACATATGTATTTTTTTAAACAAACTTTTTTGCTGAGAAATTATTTAATTTCCAAAAACCGAATGCCAACTTGAATTAAAGGAACCAACACTGAAGTGAGTCAAAATGAAAATAAAAGAGCACAAATTTCTATGCAAAGCAAAACTCTGGGAATCCTACGAGACAGCTGCCGGTCATATGACCGGTCATCTAAATGGGAAATCTGCAGTCTTTTGGCATCATATTTTACATCAGAATCGAAGGGATTTCTGAAAAATCTGACCAGTTCTTTTGTGTAACTGTGATTTTGCATCCCTTGTCAACATATGCGCATCAGTTGATGTTAACTAAAGGTCGTTGTTTTACTGCCTTAAAATTGAAGGGAAATTTTTACAGCGTTTTTTATGTGTATTGGTTTCTATTTGAGTGTATTGAGAATCGGTCAGTCTGAAAAGGCCTTGTAGGGAAGACAATAGGTTTGTTCGTCGAAAATCCAGCGAGAATTATCACTCAAAATATCAGATAGTAAGAAAAAATGCTCCGAAATTCTGTCTCAAGTAGAGAAACTTGCAATTTTCTGTACGAACGCAAATTTGCAAGCTTTTTTGCAGCTAGTGTCCACGGTTGTATTTCAAACAAAAGAAATTTGTATAGAATTTTTAAAACTCTTTCAGAGGGGCAAAAAACAGGATCTACGTGTATGTATCTTGTCACCCCGACTTTCTTCAACATACGTTTCAATTTCTTTGTCGGGTTTACTATATCGACTCTGGTTGAGATTGCATTGCGATTAAGAATACAGTTTTGTTTTTTTTCCGAGTACCTTTCAAATCATTGGAATTAACTAAATTAATTAAGTAAACAAGTATTAACTTAAATTTTTCATTTTAAAATAGCTCCAGTTTGTAAATTTTTAAATTTAACGAACTTGTGTATTCAAATTATCGTCGAAAAAACTCCAACCATGTGCCACAATCATATGTTTTTCCTAATTGCAAATTCTTGCTGGCAAAATTTTTTCCGGCTCGAATTCGTAACTTCTCTCCAAGAAATAGTCTTTTTACTCGTGATTTATTTAAATAAAACATGTGAAATTTAGTTGAAACATTTTAGCCGTTTTTAGCCGGTTTTATTTGCCAATTTAGCCGGTTCGTCCAAAAAGTTCTGGCAACACTGATGATAATGCAGAAATCTCAACTGAAGATAAAACTCAAAACAATATTCTCTGTTATATGCTGCGAACAGGAACGGCAACTTTTGTTTGTTCCATGCAGACCTGTTAACATTGGATTACGATTGCTAATCAAAACGATTGCATCGGTTGGGTAATCGTAATGATTAATTCAATTAGTGTTTATAACGGAGAAATTAGTAATCGATTTTAATTAGAAATAATCAAAAAACAATCATGATTATTTTTAATTAAAAAAACAATCAACGGTAATCAAAAATAATTAAAATAAATAATTGATTTAATTTGGTGATTAATTTTGACTATTTTCGATTACTTTAATTGTATTTAATTATTTGTTCGACTTCATTGTAAGCAAATATACTTGTTTGTTTTCTGATGGTATGATATGCTTACAGTTCGTTCCAAAATGTAGACCTCCTTTTGAGATATTTTCTAAGCGTAAAATCTGTGGTGTTGTTGTTTCCCAAACAAAATTGGAAAGCGGCACCGCACAGTGATACTTTGTCTTAAATTCGTGCACATAAGTCCAAAAATAAAGTATCGATTTTGGAGTTTTATTCTATTGGATTGGCTAAAATGATGTTTCAGCTATCGAAATATGTCCAAGACAGGTCCCTTTGTATGATCAGTGTGAAAGTGTTAGTTGACGCGGAGGTCTGAAAAGTAAAAATGGTATGCTCAATTTTGTCAAATGGTGTCTTCTTCGACAGGGCAGTGCCCGACCTTTTGTTTAAGACACGATTTGGTACCATACAATATTGAAAGTTTTTCTGAAAATGATTTTTTAAATAAATTTTTTTTCGACCAATTTCATGTAAGATAC